ATTAAATTTTTATTTTAATTTCAAGACAGCAGGCAAGGTCATGTACGTTCCTTCAGTGAATGGGAGTTCAGAGCAGGAGGCTGACTGCTTCCAGATCCGTCCTGGGGACTCGGTGTGAATTGAGTCTCTTAGTCTTTTGCTGCCAGAGAAAGTAGTTTTCAGCTGGTTCTTTGTGGCAAGTGCTGCTTAACTTTTGGGGAGGAAAAACTCAGGAGACCTGTGTCTCCTGCAACAGCAGCTCTGGGCCTGATTAATTTATGGTGTAATTTAAGAGCCCGGTCCTTCTCCTGATCTCAGGGATGCTTGTTTCTGAGCCTGTGGACAGGAGACCTTATTTTTATGGCCTTTGCTGTGTCACAGCAAAAGCTGTAGCTCTCCTATGAGCAAACATATTATTATGTCCAGAGGAAGACTGGCATGTTATAAAGTTTCAATGGTCAATTAACAAAGATTTATCCTTTGTCACTCAGGTATTTTCTTTTTTCCCTGGCTCCGTAATTAACTCTGGGAATGAAGCAAGCTGTTGGTTGCCCTGCCACACTCTGGTTGGTAGCTCCCAGCTACAGAGCAGGACTTGAGAGAGCCAATCTGGATAGTTAGCCTCTCTGCAGCTGGGCTTTCTGCTTTAGTGAAGTGGACACTTGAAGCACAGAGCCAGAGAGAGAGAGAAAGAGCAAAAAGGCGGGGAGGGAATGTATTTTTTAAAGCACTTCAGTCTGTGTTTACTACGCATTTATTTGGTGGAACCTCATTCCAGCAGTGCAGCCACCTATCCCATCAACAACAGCCGCACCCTTTGGACTGCTTTCCATTGTGTCTTAATTTGGAATTCACACGGGGACCTCAGAAAAAGGTTCTCATCCTGCTTCAGTTCCACAGATCATACATTTGCAACCTGCCACACTCAAAACACATCTATTTTACGATTGTATTCAAGAAACACAGGTGAGCTGTTCATCAGCCTTTCTGCTTTCCCACTGTAAAGAGGAAAATCTGTTTGTATAATAATCTGAGAGTTAAACACCCTGTAAGAGAACTTTGCTTAATATTGTAAATCCCGTCTGGTGGAGAGAGCTAAGGCAGCACTGGGCTCCACTTTCTCATCCAGAACTAATTCAGGGACTAATCCTTTTTATTTCAACTTGCTGTGAAAAGTTGCAAACCCCAGGGCCTGGTGAGGTTCCGGGGAGCAGGTTAACTGTTAGAAGAGCCGTCATTCCCGTTCCCACTGGGAACCATGCAGAGGCTGCTCCTCTGTCCAGCCTGCTCCTTCATCAGCCATTGGACCCATATTCACCCTCACTTTTCAGAAGTCAGGGCATCGCCACCCACTTCCTGATGGCTATTCTTAAGGGTCCAGTGGGCACCAAGGGAAGATCGGTGGCTGAGGGGGACGAGAAGGGGAGCATGGCGCTCGGCAGATGCTGGCATCCTGGGACCTTTTCCGACATGCTTCAGGCCTCGTTCTGACTTGTTTAAGGGCAGAGAATAAGGTTGCAAAGGAAATCAAAGCCTGATGTGGAGAACTGAAACATGAGGCCTACTGACTTTTTAAAAACATTTTAAATAACATTCTCTGAGGTTTCATTTTTATACCGAAAGCAGCTGTAATAAGTTTTGGAAGATGGTGTAAGGTTTCTATTAGAGAGAGATCATGCTTGCAGTTTTTTGTACCCAAAGTGAGAAAGGGCCAAGGGGGAGGGGGGGAGCTGAAGAGGTTATTTCATATAAGGTGAGAAAATTTGAAAAGATGATTTCAAGACTGCCAGAGGTAACGTTTGGTGTGCTGTAATTTGCAAATGAAATAACATTAAACCATTGCAAAGGTTTCTTTTTTCTTTTGGTGAAAATAGTCTGGGTAGCAATGGAATAACTTAATAACTGGAGCTCAGCAGCACTTTGACCACAAGTAAAACCAGACTGCAGCTCTGAACCGAGCCCTGCCAATGTTGCCCGAGTGACTGCTCGCCTGCCCAAGGCTGGGCAGGCAGGCCAGAGATACCAGCATCCTGAAAGCGCTCGTTGTTCAAGGGGCTGTGCTATTTGGTGTTATATGCACAGTGTTTGCTTGTAAAAGAAGTGTGTTTAAGAAAAAAGACTCGGTTTGAAATTCAGTAGATCTGGCTTATAACATTAGAGATTTTATAGTACTTCTGTTTCTAAGAAAAGACATTTTAGGCCCAGTGTCAATATTTATATTAACACACACGCACGCACGCACACACGTGATTGCAAAACTAGAAAACCAAACCAGGGAGTGAATTGATATCCAAAATTCACTTTTCTACGGGAAGGAATAAATATTTGACTGTACAAATATAAAGAGCATATTTTGTGAACTTGGCTGGCAGTTTCAGGCCCAGAGAACAGCTTCCCCCATGCTGTTAAATATCCTGGTAGGAGGCCTGGTGAAGAGGAAGGAGGAGAGTGTATAAGTGGTGATTTAACTCTGTCCTTCCCACCTGAATGGGGCCACCTGGGATTAAATCAGACCTCGGTCACTGCTAGTGGCACACAGGTCCCCATGTCCCATCCATGAGATAGCATATCAGGCACAGAGTCAAGGTTTCATGTAATGTTTGAAGAAACCAATCTTTGAGATTTTCTGCCTACAAAAACTGGAAGTCTTGACTTCTGGGTTCTCTACTCTGCCTACGTGGGTAATACTGGGGCAGATAAATGACTTCTTGGGGGCGCTAAAGTCCTTATCTTTATAGCAAGGAAATGTAGGCATCTGCGAAGTGATGGGCGATGCCTGGGTGAAATGTGCAAGGGTAACCACTAGCACTTTTTCTTTCTTTAAGAACTGTTTTTAAGGGCCAGCAGCAGGCATGTGTAGTAAAATCAATTTGCACATGGTCTGGCTCTTGTTCAACAAATTCCACTACACAGTATTTTAATCTGAAAGTCCCAAATATGGAAAGGCTTAGATATCTGTCATTCTAATTTGCTGCTTCCAGTCCAGTGCACAGGGATTGTTGGGTGCAGGTGGAGACAGCCTTGGTGCGTTGGGCTGGTTGGGGTCTCCTGCTTTCCCTTGAGGATTTTCAAGCTGAAGCAGTGGGGGAGGAAGGGAAACTGGTATGTGCAGTCATGGGAGATGGAGTTGCATTTGTGAATGGTCCACTGACTGGGTTCCATGTGGCTTTTGACAGTGCTGCCATGTGAGAAGTTTCAAGTAAGCGTGTAATTAGTGTTTTTGTGGTCTGTTACCTAATTTTTTAAAAATTGTTTTGTTGTTGTAAGGACATGTGATGTGAGCTCTACTGTCCTAATACAGTTCTAAAGTATATGGTGCCTTATTGTTAACTATAGGTACGACAGATTTCCAGAACTTACTTTGTGTGGCTGCAAGTTTGTGATCTTTGATTTGCAACTCTGCCTCTCTCCTCCTTGCCCCCAGTGCCTGGCAACCACCATTCTATTCTTTGAACCTATGAATTTGACTGACTTAGCTACCTCATATAAGTGGCATCATGCAGTATTTGTCTGAAGCTGTCCTGTTTCACCTAGCATGGTGTCTTCTAGGTTCGTCCACGTTGTCATATTGCAAGGTTTCCTACTTAAAAGCTGCATGGCTTTCAGTTGTATGTAGCCACCACATGTTTTATTTGGCCCATCCATCTGTTGATGGACATTTAGGTTGTTGGCTAAATCAGTATCCATTGTGACATACATAGGAGTACCAATGCCTTTGAATTTGATGTCAGCCCTTTTAGGTTGACATCAATGAAGGGTTGCTGGATCATGGAGTGATTTTGCATTTACTTTTTGGTTTTCATGGTGCCTGCACCATTATGTTTCCACTAACAGTGTATGAACAAGGGGTTCCTTCTTCACATCCTTACCATCACCTGTCTTTTTTTTGTTTTGTTGCTCCTTAGGTAAGTCATCCCAACAGGTGTAAGGTGATAGCTCATTGTGGTTTTGATTTGCATTTCCCTGATGATTTGTGATGTCGAGCATATATTCAAATACCTGTTGGCCATTTGTAAGTTTTCTTTGGAGAAATGACTTTTCAAGTCTTTAGCCTATTTCTTTATTGGCTATCACTTAATTCTTGAGCTATGTGATGTGCAGTTGTTAGCACCCCTTAACCTGGTTGGTTCTGTAGGATCCCTGCAGAGACCCTTCTACCTGTTCAAGCATAAGACAAGAAGGGGTGTGCTTTATTGAAGACTTTTCTGTAGAGAGAAAGGCAAAACAAGTTGGAGCTAGAAAGAAAGATGAGCATCTCCTCTGTGGGGTTGTCTCAGACAGTCTGAAACTCAGCCTGGACGAGAATTGGCAACTCCTTATGCTTCCTTCAATGCCACGCTTGAATAAGCTAAGGAATGTCTAGCCATCTAGTCCCTACCACACAGTGACACTTAACAGTTCCCAAATAAATGAAAGGGTGGATAAAGAACCAATGATTGGAGTATGTTCCACAATAAAGAGATGAATCCAGTGGGTTTGTCTGTTCATCACACTGGGCTTTAGTTTGTAGTTCACTTTTTAATACAGGGATGCAGGTTTTCTCAGAACATCTTCGAAATTCATTGAGACATTGTGCTAATAGGAGCTACTCTTGGTATTCAGGGTGACTTTAGTCATTTCACTTGCCGGGGATGTTAAACTTCTGATTAAGGTGAATTTTGGAGATCATTCCAAGCTGAAGAATGAAAGCCACTCTTTCCCCTTCTGCCATTTGTCTTGTAGATCGTCAAAAGCAAATGTTTTCCCTTGTTCATTAGGTGGTCGTGGGTAAGCAGTAACGTGGGATATAATAAGTTCTTTTCTAGATTTTCTAAATATCCTTTTTACAAGGGTTGTGCTCCAGCGGCCTGCTTTGAAGTCGTTTTTGTTCATGGGGCTGCTGCGTTTTTCCAAAGGAGTCAGCCAGCAGACGGGAGGCCTTTTTGGCTTGAGTTCCCTGACAGCCTTCTGCACAACACAACTTATTTATTGGTTTCTCCTCCTCCCATCTCTGCTCCTCCTCTCTTCCCTGTCTCTCTCAGAGCGATCGCCACACCGGCCCATCCTCCAAGCTGGACTGCCAGCAAATGCGTCCACAGTGGTCGGAGGGGACGTGGAGTTTGTCTGCAAAGTTTACAGCGATGCCCAGCCCCACATCCAGTGGATCAAGCATGTTGAAAAGAATGGCAGTAAATATGGGCCTGACGGGCTACCCTACCTCAAGGTTCTGAAGGTGAGGACTTTCTGTGTCCCAAGGGGCCCACAAATGGGGGTCTCTTTTGTGGGTTTGACCAAGTTCTTTGATTTCCTGCTGGATCTGAGAGATAATTCTCTTTCTCTGGACAGTAGAGATTGTTAAGGGACTGATAGACATTAAGCTTGCTAATAAAATTTCTGAAGGGCAGGGGCAGACCTACTCAACATGGAGTCAGAACAGTTTAGTTATCCACCCTGAGGTCTTAGATAAGACACCTTGGCTTAGCCGTGCATGTACGAGAATGGGGGTCACAATAATGTCTCCCCTACAGGGCAGTGGGCAGAGTAAATGAGATGGAGTTGATGGGATGGGAAGAGCTCAGAAAGCTTGAGGCCCCATACTAATGTTAACTGTTACTCTGATGCTATTTTCTATTAACGATGCTAGTGTCAAATTCTAGTAGCTAGCTACCTTTTAGAAACAATTTGGATTTTCTTTTTTGAATGTTCCCTCACCCTTTATAACTCCTTTGGGACATGTATCTGTGCCTATGAAATGGTGAGCAAGGAAAACGCCTTTCCTCCTTAGAGTTCTTGTTTGGTGTTTTGAAAAGCCCGCCCCCCCCCGCCACACCCTTTTTTTCCTTTTTTCCATAGCTTCAGCCTCAGGATGTTTTTAGACCAAGCTTGTTCTTCGGGATAGTGATAACATGCAGCCTAAAGTCTGTACTGCAAGTTCTTAACCTGCCACGTTGAGTTGCTCATAGAGTATGCCTGTAAAAAGAATGGTCTTCCATTAGAACCATAGATGGCTTACTAAGATCTCTCCACAGACGACGTCTTCTCTCCTGCCAACAATACCCAGCATCCAAAAAGCTGGAGAAAGATAAGCGGCCTGGGGAACCGCTCACCCATTCTGCCGGCAGTTGATCATCCTTTACTACCCCTTGCCCACACGTTCACGTCCATTACCCACCACTTGACTTATTTTGCTCTTCCTCAACCCACAGCTCTTTAGACACAACAGAGGTGGTTTTCTTGTGGTGTGTTGGTGGTGGGACCATAGACAGCACCGAGTCTTTCCTGGTTGGCCGTTATATTGTTCTCCTATGTCTGTTCTAGCACTCGGGGATAAATAGTTCCAATGCAGAAGTGCTGGCTCTGTTCAATGTCACTGAGGCGGATGCCGGGGAGTATATATGTAAGGTCTCCAATTATATAGGACAGGCCAACCAGTCTGCCTGGCTCACTGTCCTGCCCAAGCAGCAAGGTAACAACGCTTTTTTGTTTTTGTTTTTTTAAAGAAAACTGGATATAGAAGCTGAAAAGACTTGGTGCTTTGGGAGCTGCAGGCAACTTCTAGGATAATTCTTGTGGCTTTGGTACATTGATAATGATCTTTTCTTGGTGATGCAGCTGGCATGAAGCCAGCAGCCATGGAAAAATGCCCACAACGTTCAAAATGCTTGCTCTAATTCTTCTAAAGATTACATTCCACCTCCACCCAGTTTTTAAGTCATTGCTTCTGGTTTATCTTGATTGGGCTGCACGTTTCCCATGGTTACTATACCTTTTAGAATCACCTAAATTCATACCTTCATGCCTATTGAATCTGTAACATTTGAATATCAGCAGAATTCCTATTTCCTTCTACCCCAGCTTTTGAGAAATAATGGCCTGATATAATTTGTCCAACAAAGTATCATTTCTTTGGTTTCATAGTTGATCCTAAATTGGGACGTTTTCCTGACCTAACAAATGCACTACTGGGTGCCGTTGATGCAGAAGGTTGACATTCTTAGTTTGCTATGATTCACATTCAAATGCTCATATTGGAAAAGAACTTAAAAAGAGGCGGGCAGAGGGAGAGGCATGGTGGCTCATACCTGTCATCCCAGCTATGTGGGAGGCATAAGTAGGAGGAACAGGATCCCAAGGCCATCCTGGGCCAATAAAACCGTGATGCCCTACCTGAAAAGTAAAAGCATAAAAAGGGCTGGGACATAGCTCAAGTGGTAGAGCACCTGCCCAGCAAGTGCAAGGCCCTGAGTTCAAAATCTATTGCTGTTCCTCCCTCCCCTCATGCCCAGATTTTCTCTTACTGAGGTTAGACTTTCTGCCATTTTCTTTCAACGCTGTATAAGGCAAGATGGTTTTGCCAAAGTAAAGTTGGCCAGAGCCAGGTAACCAAGATAACCTTCCACCCTAGTTGGTTCTCACACAGCCAGAGGGACATGTGAAGTGTCCTCTTGCATGTGTCTGCAGTGTTTTGTTTTATCACACAGTAATTAGGTACAGCCATCCTTTTCTCAAGATGGGAGTCTACAGCCAACAGGACCAGAACCTAAATTAGCCCTTTGGGCACTATACTTTTGGAAAACACACCTAAATTCAAACCAGAGCAAAGGCAAAGAGAATGGACCTTTGTGGGTTGATTTTTTCATGTGTTTGATTGCATGCTTGTCTAGGTGGTGAAGCCGGTGTGGTGACGGGCCTGCGGAGGTGAGCCTGGCCAGTGTTGCTCAGTGTCTCTCGGTTGTGGGCTTTGTAGATGGGCTGCAGTCGGAATCTCTCCATGGCCAGCACCCCCTGGAGCTGCCGGTGAGAGGCCTCATGGTTCCAAGGCCTCCTCTACACTCATTCCTGTGTCTAGCCTTTTTCTGCCTCCTTTGTCTTCTAGGCTGCCGGTGTTAACACCACGGACAAAGAGATTGAGGTTCTCTATATTCGGAATGTAACTTTTGAGGATGCTGGGGAATATACATGCTTGGCGGGTAATTCTATTGGGATATCCTTTCACTCTGCATGGTTGACAGTTCTTCCAGGTATATACTGCTCTTTCTCTCCATGGGTTTTTCCTTTTCTTGGTTGATTGCTATAAAATTAACACAGCTTCTGTTCTCAGAAATGGCCCCTTTTATCCTTGCATTAAAGATTTTTTAAAAATGTTCAAAATGATCCCCCAGGGATAAGAAAAATTGCCTTGGAAATTCACTTACAAGGAGATCCCATGCTCACATTTATGATCAAGTAAAAATTCACCCCTAAAACCCGAAGGGCTCATATATTTTTAGTGCGTCATTGAGCCTATGAATAAACTAGTCCATCCCCGTTTCTCTTAAGAAAGAAGTTGAAATTACTTTGTAAAATGCAAAGTAATTTTTTTCCATTACAAATTCCATTTTGCTGAAATCCCACATGTGATTTTATTCTTCTTGTCCCACTTGGCTTACATCTCGGTAAAAATACAGATAGATATATATTGGGGTGCCCGGGGAAAGCACCTCTGAATACAGGTGCACAGAAGCAGTGTGTTACCTACCTTGGGAATCGGTGGCTTGGTGCATGTTGAATGCAAACTGCAGAGCACGTCTTGGGCTTGATGTTGTTTCTGCCTTATGAGAAATAAACATCAGCGAAGCCCTGCTGCCTAAACATAGTCACTGTCTAAGTCTTTAACTGACATCTCTGTTCTAGTCACACTTTCTTGATAAAGGCTGTCCTCTCGAATGCTTTGCTTCTGCGTCATTTCCTTTGTGAAGCCGCATAGACTGTGGTTTACTAGCTTGTGATATATTAATTCCTTTTTAGCACACCATGCCTACCTGCATGCTTGTTTTATAGCTAGTAAAAGTAAATTGATCATTTCATTTTGTGCTATGCTGCTGAGAGTTTTGACTCTCTTGCAAGTATTTTTTCTGATTAAAATGTATAAGCTTTAAATAATACCATTACATCCAATTTTCCTTTGGTTTTGAATATTTTACTTTGAAACTATGAGATTCCTCTCGAGTTGAGCTTGCTTTTACTTGTATTCTGCAAGTGCCTACCTGGCACTTCCTAACCAACTTGCCTGGCAATACTAGTCCATTAACTAAGAATGCAGTTCAAGAAAAAAATGCTTGGAAATACACTGCTTATAGAGTGACCTTGGAGGACTTGCAAACATTATTGAAAGTTGATATGAGAAGGTGCTGGATTTCATATATATGAAATTTATATATACACACACACTCACATGTATTACCATTTAAATTTTTTCTTAAGAGAAAAGTTGTAGTGTCCTGTCAGTATAACAAAAATTTAATAATTCTTAAGGAATATTATAAACTTCATTGTGGATGTGATTTTCATATCATAATCAACTCAGTCTTCATATTAAATATATTTTTTTGTTTATTGAGAAATGCTGGATTTTATTAAGGAACTCAGCAAAACTTTTTTGGGCCAGCCTACTAGTTGAGTGTTCATTCCATACAGAGCTGTGTTCTTCTTGGGTACCTCATCTCGTTGAGCCTTCCTCTGGAAGAGCCTGCCTCGGTAAGACTGAAACGTTTGTTACAGTCTCCTTAGGAACAAAAGTGGACATGCCCATATTCCAGAATTGTTAATTTGATTTACGTTCAGAGGCCATCATGAAAGACAGTCCTGTTGGAGGTGCAGCTGCTGGTCCTGTTCTGCCTAAATGTCTAACAGAATGTGGCCTTGTAGCCTCCCTTTGTAATTTGGTGTCAACCACTCACTGATGGCAGATGTCCCCTGAGGCTGGAGATGGTGACCACTTAGGTCTAGTGGTACACTGAGGACCCATTGACTGTTCATTTGCATTGAAGAGGCACACAGTAGGCCTTGGCCCCAGACCTCCTGCCGCATGGGGTTCCTGGGAAGCCCATCTTGCCTTTGGAATGGTCATCGCCTTTTGATTCCTTTAGTTATGCTGTGATGCGTCACTCCAGTGTCCTAACCCTGTGGCCTGCTTATCTGTTCCTCTCCTGTGACCTGCAATCTAGCTCCTGTAAGAGAAAAGGAGATTACAGCTTCCCCAGATTACCTGGAGATAGCCATTTACTGCATAGGGGTCTTCTTAATCGCCTGTATGGTAGTGACAGTCATCCTGTGCCGAATGAAGACCACGACCAAGAAGCCAGACTTCAGCAGCCAGCCAGCTGTGCACAAGCTGACCAAACGCATCCCCCTGCGGAGACAGGTAACAGAAAGTAGATAAAGAGTTTAAAGACCTTTACTCCTCCCCATGCCCCAGCCAGCTCTTGGATCTTTTCCTTTGCTTTGATGCCATGTACTTCTGTGAGCTTCAGTATGGGAGTGGTTCTGCTGTGCCACTCGGTGGTCATCTGGTTAGTGCTTGGAGAGTCAAGTAGTAGTGCCTCATGGGGGTGGTGAATGGGGTCTAGTTCTAAGGACAAGAAAGAACGATAGTGTGAGAATCAGAGAGCTAATCGGGATCAAAAATAACTCGAGAGGTAATTCTCTTTGTGTGAAGAACAGGGGTCTCTTCAAAGCATAGGCCACTTTTGTCTCCTAGGAACTAATGTTATAAAAAAGCATAGACAGGTATGACTGTTTGGATGGGGTTTATTCCATGAGTAAGAAAGAGATTCTAGTTCTCTTTGATTTATTGTTTTAAGTCAAGATCAGAAACCTGTGGTTCAGAGGTATAACTGAACTGCTGCTTGCTTTAAACTGGCACATGCTGTCTTCATGAACTGAATTTTAGCTGAGCTCCTCTAACTGTTAAAATAGCATCTTGGCCGGGTGCTGGTGGTTCATGTCTGTGATCCTAGCTACTTAGGAGGCAGAGATCAAGAGGATCATGGCTGGAAGCCAGCCTAGGCAAATAGTTTGCAAGATCCTATCTTGAAAAAAATCCATCACAAAACAGGGAGGGTGGAGTGGCTCAAGGTGTAGGCACTGAGTTCAAGCCCCAGTACTGCAAAAGAAAAAAGGGCATCTTACGTATATATTACATTATTGTCAGAGGGTCACAGTTGTGGCTGCAGTTTCAGTGGTAGAGTAATTTAAACTCTGAGCTTGGTTTATTTTTGCTTTGGGAAGATAGGTCAAGATACAACTTCCTCTGTGCCATAAATAAATCAAAGCCTTGCAAAGGTGGATAGGACCGGAAATGCAGTCTTTCTGCTTGTTCATGATGATGTAAGGGGAAGGTGTATGTGGACGCAAAGTTTTGCATTTCGAACTTGGGTCAAATAAAGTTATTATTTCTTTTGAAATAACAAGTGAAACTGCCAACTAATTGGCTGTTTCAGTGTGCATTTTAGTAGAATTTACAAGTGCTTGTTAAAATTGCAGATTCGTTAGTCCCAGCCCCAGCCCCAGAGATTCTCGAATGGGCCCAGGAATCTGCATTTGAAGTAAGTCCTCAGGGGACTGTAAAAAGCACTTTGAGAAACTCTGGGTTCACCCCAGCTGTGCCTCTCCTGGGACTTCAGTTAGCAGTGCCCTTTCTGAACAAGGCGTTCGGATAGATTAGGATCCAGTTGGTCAGCAGTGGGTTTGGCAGGAAGCTGGCTGTTCTCAACCCAGTTTCATGCTTCAGGCTGAATGAGTCCTTGTTAACTTTCCTGGAGCCATGTTTCTAGCCTCCCCTTCACGGAGGCTGAGGATAGAAGTTGGAGTGCCTGCCAAATGCTGGCAAATGACCAAATTGTGCCAAGACATGGGAAAAAAGAGCTCCATTGGGTTGCTTCTGCCACCAAGAATGCTGTTGTTATTTTGAGTGATGTTGCTTGTTAGTTGTGGGGCCAGTTGCGTGACTAGTTTTGGGGGAGTCCAGTCAAAAGATGACCTGTCCCAGGCCTAATAGTGCTCTGACTTCAGGCTATATAGCCAGCCTTCACCCAACCTCCTTCCTTACCAATTACCTCTGAGCCGTTCTTGTAGTCTACATGTTGGCAATCTGGCATAGGGAGTTGGAAAAGGGGAGTGGTATTCCCACCTCTATTATTTCTTTCTTTAATAGGCCAAAAAAAAAAAATGGGTATTTTGCCAATACCCCTGGAAAAAAATGGGAAACCTGTAATTGGTGTAGGTAGGCCATTGTCCCATAATTATTTCATCATCATCTTTTTTTTTTTTTGTAGCTATTACAATGCTCTTCTTTTTACTTTCTATAAAAGAGGCAGATGTCCTTAAAATACCTTTGATATAATCACACTCAGAGTGTTTTCTTTTCTCTGGCCAGCAGGTACTTCTTCATTGCTCATATCCACCTTAGTTGGTCATTTTTCTCATACTTTCTGTATAACCAAAGGGAAAATTAGGATCCTTTCCTCATTTTCTTCCTTCCTGTTATTCATCAATACTTATTAAATGCTTGGTCTAAACCAGGTTCCAAGTAAGACATGGCCTTTTGCATTGGGCATTGGCTCCAAGGTTAGTGGAGACCTTTATTTGAAACATATGATCAAGTATTGTAAGACAAGCAGGGAAAATGGGCAAATACCAATACTCCTGGAAAACTAGATCTCTGGTAGATTAATGCATCAAGAGAACGTTGACACCCCCCAGATCGTCAAAACGGGGTGCATTACTGCTTCTTCAGAAGGAACTCATCAGTGGAGGAGATGCCTCTCAGGTATCTGGATAAAAAAGGGTTATTGGACTGTGGCTGGAGGGAAGAGCCCCACAAAGGCCGGCAGATGTGTTGATGACAGAGCGAATACCACAGGGATGCCAGGCATGCCTTTACCTGAGGACAGGTGAGTCTGTAATCAGATGTCTGGAAGACGGTTGCTTCAAGGCATTCACAAGGCCACTTTTCAGTCTCCGTTGGCCCAGCCTTCTCTATGACACAGGTAACACTGGGCATGCTCATGGAATTCTCAGTTTATCTGCCTAGCCCTGAGCCTGTCTCCGCTCCACCAACACGCATACGTACAGCCTGCCCCCCCTCACTCAATCCATCATCGTCCTCTTTTTAGGACAAGAAAAGTTGGACTTTTTGTTCCTGTTGTGGGGTTTTCATTCTTGACATTTACTAATTGGCTCTGAACTTACTGGTGGAAAACAGACATTTCAGGGTTTTTATTTTTTTTAAGACAAAAATATGTTTTCCCGGTAAGAAAAAAAGAAATTCCTTATGTTTCTTTCCCCTTATGAACTTTGATGCCTGGGGAAAGAGTAGCAACTTTTTGGTGGAGGACAGGCAGGTGGCATGTGGCATCTTCCAAACCAGAGAGGAACACCTTTGTGAACCCGTCCGTTTGCTTCATGGTGTTGAATTCCAGAGCCACACCTCCAGCCTTTTTCCTTTAAGTTTGTTTTCAGACAAAGTCTCACTCTTTCTACCTGGACAGGCCTTGGACTGTGATTCTCTTACCTCTGCCTCCCACATAGGTGGGACTGGGATTGAACCTAGGGCTTCAAGCTTGCAAAACAGGCACTCTACCTCTTGAGCCACACCTCTGGCTCCTTGGCTGTCAGTTCTTGTAAAGGCCTGCTGGACAGTCAGTGTCTTCAAAAGCAGCCCATGCATTGAAGGGAAGGCTTCACATCCATGATTTCCACAAATCCCTTATGGGGTGAGCATGAGTGCAGGAGGGGCACAGAGGAGACCTTGCTCAGGACAGCACTGGGTTTGTTGAGTAGGTTTCTCAGAGGATCCATCAGCTCCTTAGAATCCAGAAGCTTCTGTAAGGCAGAATAGAGATCTAACTGATGATTGGCTCTGTTCAGGTCAGTGTGTGTCCTATCTGGCTCCTCCCCTCCCATCAGCAGGTCACAAGGGGCTGGGGGGAAGGAGAGGCTTCTTTCTCAGCCATAACTTTCATCATCACTATGGCTGATACAGGTAGCATGAAACCTAGAGAAAAGTAAAGGATATCTTCTGTGGTGATACCTTTGAGGCAAATGGTGGCCTCCAGGGGACAGTAAGAGTGGGATGATAGCTGGGTGGTGGTGGTTCATGCCTGTAATCCTACCTACTCAGGAGGCAGCGATCAGGAGGATTGTGGTTCAAAGCCAGCCCAGGGTTATAGATCAAAGCTCCTATATTAAAAGAAAAAAAAAACCCAACACAGAAAAGGGCTGGTGGAGTGGCTTAAGTGGTAGAGCCTAACAAGCATGAGGCCCTGAGTTCAAAATCCAGTGCTGCCAAAAAAAAAAAGATTGGGATGAAGGTAGAAGAACACGTGGCTCTGCAGCCAGTCCTTAGGGCTACCTGTATTTATGGTCTTTAAATACACCTGGCTCTATGAAGAAAAAGTCTAACTTGCTTGTTACCTGGCAGCTGAACATCAGGATCTTAGAATAGTCTCTGTAGCATGGTCAACCCGGTATTGTAATGGAACCTCCCTGGTTCCAGAAAACATCTGGGTGATAAGAATTGTATGGATGATCTGACTGGAACCTGTCCTTGGTGTGAATACCTCGCCCTCTCTGCTTCATCTTGGTTGCTCTCTTCCCCCAGCCTCTGAAAGATGTGGGTTTGATTAAGATCTGACCTGGACTTTGGCTGACAAGATCTTCTAAGTAGATCCAGGCTGCTGAGACCGGTGTGTCACTGCTGTTTGTGACAGGACTCAAGAGTTGGCCTGGAGGAGATGGAAGCTTGTTAAGGGAGAAACTGCCTTGCCTAATTACCTACATTTGTTGTGGAGGGCAAAAGAAAAACCAAAGCTTCATCCCGCCCCCAGGTTGATGGGGTGAAAAGCTTTTGCCTGGCCATATGCAAGTGGCGGGCAGGGACTATAGCAGAAGAATCCTGGGCCTTCCATTGTGGTTCGGGACAGAAGCTGGGTCCACTGTCCAAGAGGCAGAGGGTTCTCTGGCAGGCTGCTGTCCAAGGGTGTTTGTCTTTCTTCGGGAATAAATGCCCAAATGTGACTCTTCCTTGTGGCATCTTTGCGTCTACCTGCTCTGTCCTCTGTGAGGTTCCCTCTGGGTGTTAAATTCAATCTAGTATAAAGAGATAACACTATTTTTTGGTGGCCCTTTCGTAAAAAAAGAAACTACTTCCTTGCTTAATCTCCCACATGTACTGAGGAAGTATATGAAAAGCACATTTAGTTAACAGCTTGATTTATGAAGCATGGTAGAGAATCTGGAGAGTAAGGAAGCTGTTTTGGAGACTGTGAAAAGTACATGCTTTTTTTTTTTTTTTTTTTTATGGATGCCAAGATTTGGGTGGGGAAAACATGTACTAGACTGTTAGCATCTATTGTTTATAAGTAACTTATTTCTTAGTAACAGTGGGACATTTTAAAATGAACAGAAAACTCCAGAATTGAAATTTCTTGGTTCAGAATTGAATATCTGATAGGGGAGATGATAGTTTTGTGAGAAAGGAAAGACAAACTGATAACGTAGGCAGCAGGGGCACGGTTCAAAGGAAAGAAGCCCCTGAAATATGGCATCCCTGGGGGAGGCACCTCCTTTCAGTGATGGCACCAAGCCCTCCAAACAGGTTTGCTTTTAGAGAAAAAGTGAGTGAAGAGAAAATCGCCATATCTTATAGTCCCAGAGGGGATTTTCAAAGCACAGTAAAAATGCATGAAGTAAAATTAAGACATAGCTCAACAGACAGAGCTATGAATTCTGTACTTCCTTATACTTTGGGTGTTTTCTTACCCTTTGTGTTTTTTACCAAGGTTCTTTTTCCAGATTTGTACATTTAATCTGAGTCTCTACACGTCATCCGAACAAAAGTCCCACAAGTAAATAGGGTTTTATATTTTAATATAAGGACAAGAGCAAAGACTGTAAAAGTTCTCCACTTTATCTTAGTTCATTCATTTTCTATTTGTGAAAACACTATTGGGGCACAGGTTGTGTACGTGGGTTCCTCTGCCACGGGTTTGTGAGTGCTCATTCCCTTTGGGTCAGTGGTTTCCCACTGAGCAGATGCTAACTTTCTGTTATCTGAAGTAGCCCCTAAGTCAATGTCCGTCACTATGACTGTTACCCTCCAGCTTTCCTCCCTCCTGCCCTGGGACTATCCCCAGGTTCCTGGATTCTTCACTGTTTACCTGCTGGAGCCCCAAGCCATCCTGGCTGGAAGTAGAGAGCCATGTCTTGTAAATCGGATGTGCAGTTCCGACATAATCTGTCCTTCAGATGGCCCTTACTGTTGCCATTTTCCTCCTCGTTGCACATAGTCTTACGGTGTCTAACACACACAACGACCCTGGGCAGCAAGTGCCCTAACTTACACAGAGAGTCCAGTAGTGTGCCCGCTGGGATCTGGACACAGATGATTCCAGAGGTGCTAAGAGAAAGTACTGTGGCATTCCTGGTAAATGTCCCTGAGCTCTTTCTGAGGGCCTGGCTCAGCAACAAGCACTTTGCTGGGGGTTTCCTTACTCCGTCCTCACTTACATCAACTCTGTGAGGCTGGGAGTGTGCCTGTCTCCTCGTAACAGACAGGGAAACCTGGGATTAGGGCAGTGAGGTGACTTTCTGAAGCCCTGTATTGGAACTGGGATGAAGACCCTGGCAATTTGACCATACAGTGCCTTGGTGCAGTGGTCAGCCCTGCTGACACGGGGCAGCAACTAGGGCTGCCTGGCCATGGATGCTCACCTGGGGTACCACATCCAAGGCTGCACAGATGCCACAAAACAGCCTGGTAGCAGAAGACAGGCATGAAAGCAGGGGTGTTGCCATTTTGAACTCATTGTAGAAATCGGTATATTTTTAGCATGTGCCTTTGGTTTTCTGTTCCCTTTATTTGTGCCTCAGTTCAGATCCTTATTATTCAAAACAGTATTTTTGTTAAAGAAAGGACTTCTAAAACAAGAAATGCACATCCATGGTAATAAAATCCAAACGGTATAGAAACTTGAGAAATCAGACCTATTTTCTATCCTCTCCCCCAACCCTTGAACTCTTTCCCCAAAGGTGACCACTGCTAAGTCCTCAGACAGCCTTCCTGCCTGAGCTCTCTAAGCGCTGGAGGGAAGGGGTGCTTTCCCATATCTGATCGCATACGCCTCCTGGGGAGAGGAGATTCTTGGAGATGAGGCCTGCAAGCCACTCACTCTGATGTGTCTCTGCCCCTGGACATTATCGTCATCCAGCATGTGGTCTGTGCTGATTTCCCAGTCAGTTCTGGTACTCCCTCCTCATCGGTCACAGCACACTATGCCCCAGCCATGTGACTGGGAACTCCAGAGATAGTGATGAGGGGCTGTGCTGGTGGTCCTTCAGAGTGACCTGGCTGCAGAATCTACTGGACCTTGGCCATCTGGGGCCTGTATTCTCTCATAGCTGAGCTGATTTTTACTAGTTTGGCCAGAACTTCTTGCCTCTGATCTTTAGGCACAACTGTCTGTCTACTGCAGTAAGTGGTGACGTTTGCCTGTTCATGTAGAACTTCCTGGAAGACTGATTTAAAAAAACAAAAACAAAAACAAGAAAAACCACCAGGCATCTTTTGCAAGCCTGGGCCATGGCCCTGTTGCAGAATGAGTTAGGTGGGTGGATTTGGGGAAGCTCATTCCTAAATCTTTCTGAGCCTCTGCTCTGTGGATGAAGTGCAAGAAGTTTCTGTGATCAGTGGAAATTGGAAATCTTGATGTTTGCTAAAAGTTCTTGATGTGTGATGTGTCCTGCAAATATTGTCAGCTCACTACTGTGAGGCTGGACACCACGTGAATTATGCAGGGGTCTTGGAAGTCATCGTATATGATGCCCAGGGTGGGACTCCTGCCTGGACTGTGATGTAAGGAAAAGTGGAGTCTATAGGAGCCCACATGCTTCCCTTCTTGTCTTTTCCTGTCTGCTTCTGTCATTTGCCCTTGTAGCCTGGACACTTGGCCTTGAGGTGTATAATCATCAATTCTTTGACTCCCTCTTTTTTTTAATTTTTAATTTTTGCTTTGCCACAGAATAAGCATTGCTCATGCCATCTGCACAGTAAAATTTAGGACTAGCCTCCCCTTGCCAAAAGACCTCTCAGAAGACTCAGAAAAAAATGTATACATGTACATGTCTAAAGATAATAGAAATTCCCTGTTGGAAACTGCCTACTTAATTTTAATACTGAAAACAATTTCCTATTCCTAATTTCTCCCCGGTTCATTCTTGGGCATCTTCTCAAGTTTCCAGCCTGCATTCAGCGTTGTCTGGGGTTTACAGAGGAGTACATCAGGGCTTTCCAATTAGGACCGTCCTGGGGGAGTGCACTTCCTCTGGTCCCCTGTGGGAAGAGTCCAAGATCCACCTTGTGAAAGTATATCCCAACTCAATTTGTTCACTTGGACTCAGTCTTTGCCAGGTCAATTGAAAGGTGTTTGTATGCACAGCTGGGGTCACTGTCATCCATGCAGGAGTCAGAAACCAAGGCGGGTTGGTGGACTATGCATAGTTTAGAGTAAAGCACTGTCTAGCAGTCCATGATCACACCAGGATTGTGGAGTTGTCCTCAGAAGCAGCTTCCGTGTAGGCTTGGCAGGAGTTTTCCTTCACCGAAACCAGCCAAGGGGAGATGATGTATTTAAGAAATAATCACTGTATCAGACACAGACTGAAATGAATCAGGGTGAATGAGAATATAGTTTGATGAAGCCCTGTATGCCACCAGGTGAGAGAGGAGCACTCCTGTGTGGTTATGAATGAAGGTGTATTTTTCTTTCCTTGCACTGTTTGTCTCACGTTTCAGTGCTCTGTTTTCTGAAGGTACATTTGACAGGAGACAACCCATTTTTGCCGAATGGCATCAACAGATTTCCAGGGGAGAGACAGAGAATGGTCTTGATTTGTCTTTAATAAAGGAGCATGGAATTTCTAGAGTGCTTTTCACATTCAAATCATAGAACTCTTCCTCTGAGGTATTTGGCTTTACATTTCCAAAGTCAGGCAATGTGGAAACCCTAAAATGGTTTATGGAAAAATCTCATGAGCACAATTTTGATCTGTGATCTGGGCAGGTCTGAGAGGAGCTTGGTTATCTGGTGCTCCGGAGCAGGTACAGACAGGCAAAGAGGTCGTAGTGAAGACAGTGGGGTCTGTCTGTACACCCGCGGGTGGCTGTCTTGGAGAATTAGGAGGGAAGGAAGACATACTTTGATCAGACTTACGTAAAAATTTTTGTTGTAAAACTGATCTTAGGAACATCCAATTTAGGTGCGATCTAGTACTGCATGTGGGAGGACGGTGGGGGGGGGTGGGGATTGGAGTCCAGTGGCTTTCATTTGGTGCATGACTTTGGCCCCTGCCCCCTTCCTGTTTAAGAATCAGTCTGGCTGGGCCCTGGCTGACTTCCAGCCTTCTCAGGTGGAACCACGATTACATCTGTGTCTTTGCATTTTGTATCCAGGTTTCGGCTGAGTCCAGCTCCTCCATGAACTCCAACACCCCACTGGTAAGGATAACAACACGCCTGTCTTCAACAGCAGACACCCCGATGCTGGCAGGGGTCTCTGAGTATGAACTCCCAGAGGATCCAAAGTGGGAGTTCCCCAGAGATAAGTGAGTACTTGGTGCATATCCCTGCATGGAAGCTTACATATAAATGGAATATTGGATTGACATTTTCTTTTGATGACCTTTAACTGCAAAGGTCTTTCTCTGACAGTGTCAATAGGAGTGAGATTGTATTTCCAAATAGCCAAGTCCTGGAAAAGGAAAGAGTGGGTTGAAAAACAAGTAGTTCCTTTAAAACAGCGCTACAAAGTCTTGGCTGGCCTCCAAACAAGGTGGCGTCTGGTTATCACTTTTTAAATTTCCAGACAATTCAAACCCAGTCAAATGGAATAAGAGTGAATTACCCAATCTCTAAGATAGCTCTGACATTCCAACTTTCTGGCTGCTAGAAAAATGACTGTTTTGTAGTTTATTTCTCTGAAGAAATTAGATGCAGAACATAAAATTGCCTTAAGGTTCCTTACCCAGTGTTGCTGTTTTTAATGGTCATTGATGCAGTATTGGGCTGGAAGCTTAAAATATGGTACCTGATTTCTGTGGGCTGTGATGTTTTCCTTACTGAATGGTGGAGAGGTGTCCAGTCACACGCTTAGTCAAAGGATTGCCACTCAGGCTTTGTTGAAGTCATTGCTACAAGCTGGGTATCCCTTGGTCTGAGTCAAACAAGTCTGAGTACTTTGGGCTCTGTTGGCTGGATTTGAATCCTGGCTTTGTCAACCAGTGGCTGGGCAACCTTGGGTTACTCACACAACTCTCTGAACTTCATTCTCATAGCATGAAGGACATGGTCTATGTTTCCTAAGACTGAGCACAGTTTTTGGCTGTGGGAGTCTCACTTGCATTCATGTGTTGGTCACCGGGACCTCTGAACTGCAAATCTTAGCAAGATGGTTGTGCTCAGCACAGCACCAGTGTGCTCTTTAGGTAGACACCAACCCCTTATCCCACCTCTGAAGCCAAGATCACAGAAGGTTGTCAGCTCACTCAGGGATCCTTCTTGTGGAATTAGAGTCTCAGCAGCTTGAGAGTAATAGAAGGTAGAGATACTGACTCTCACTGCATCAGATAAACTGGAATAAACTCTTAACTTGCTTATAAACAGCCAGGCTGTTTGTCCCGACATTTGCAGCACCTCCCTGAGATTATGTTAGAGATGTGTTTAGCATGAGCTATTTGGAAACACAGAGATAAGCTTTCCCAGAGACTGGATCTGACGAGCTCAAGTTGGAAGGGAGACGTAGCTTACGTGGCGCTTGTGATTCTGATTCACACAACTTCATGTTGCTTTTGTTTCTCAACAGCCAATTCAGAGACGCCAATGTATATGCTAAGCTAGAACTGAAGAACTGTCTAGACAGCAGGCAGTTAGCAGAAGTAATTTCTAGTTCATTTGTGTAGTATGGTGAGAAGACCATTCACTCAATTTGAGGCAAGTTTTTTGGACCTTTCCTGGGGTGGCACTAGAGAAATGCAAAGAATGATTTCTGTACCTGGAGGATGTGGAGAAGGGAGGGGTGTTTCTCATGAACCCTGCCAGCCCACTAGCTATGTACGATTATTTAGGTAGCTGCGTTCAAGTACACATTCCTGTGTATACAGCACTGAATTCGGGAGTTGTGATCATATGTTAAGAACTTGCAGTTTTCAGGTTCAGGCTGTACTTTTTGCCACCTGTGACACTGTAGTCAACAGTGGGAGTCTGTGTGCTGCCCTGACAGCCAGCTCTCACCCAGGGTACCCCAAGTATGGAAAGTCTGAGTGCTATGCATTTCCAAATAGTGCACAGCATAAATGTAGGCGGAGCAGATTCGCAATGAATGAAGGCTATTTAGAAGCAGTTTGTTAATCGGAGGCAGGAGTTACACAAAGAAAGGGTTGTTACGCTTGTCCTAGCAAAGCAATAGGGCATAAATTAGCCATTTTTCCAATGCAAATGTTTATTTTCTGCCAAGATGTTAAATTTAATTTTAGTGCTGGATAGAGAGAGGTCGATGACCTCAGCATAGCATACACTGCCCTCAGGGGTTTTTTGCTGAACTTTTGCAAACCGTTGTGTACTTACTGTAAATACTGTTTACTGATGGCAGCCCAGTACTTGGCTGTGTTATGCTTAAGTTAATAAACCACATTCATAAGTGTAAAAAGCCTTCTCCATTCTTTGGATTTGAGGATGTCCTAGAGCAATAGATGGCTATTTGTATGATAAGTGTAAAACTTCTGAACTTAAACCTGTGATTCATGGTGTTCACTTTGGATTTTCTTCATTGTTAATTTTGACTCGTCGTAAGGATTGCTAGACATATGTCAGAAAATACTCTGCCCACTCTCTAGAATTTTCTTTTTCCTATAGTGAGGATTTAGAGATTCCTTGAAACATGTTTTAAGATTCAGCTCCTGTAACTTGGCAAGGAAGGTGACCATAAAATCTGCTGGCATTTGAATAATAGTGATCTTAAACCTGCCACTTTACGGGGACAAAAAAAATAAGAACATTTTTCCTTGAGACATTCTACATTACAAATATTTAATTGGCTCAAGATCAAAAGCTCCTTGTTGTTGGCACTCAGGAAGGCTGACCACCTTGGTAGCAAGCATACCTTCCGTAAAGAAAATAAATCGAGAATACAAATGCGAAATTTAATAGAGTTCCACCAGTAATTCACCTTCTCAAAAACGTCACTAAGAAAACACTCTCCAGCACACGTGTACCCCAAGTCTCATTAGTTCCATATGATAAATACGCCATGCTTTTGTAAGTTGCTGAAAGATTTTTATATTTAGGGCTGGAATTTCCCTTGCTGCTCTATGCCAGATGTTGTGTGCTAATCCTCTATTTACACATTTAGGCTGACGCTGGGCAAACCCCTGGGGGAAGGTTGCTTTGGGCAAGTGGTCATGGCTGAAGCAGTGGGAATTGACAAAGACAAGCCCAAGGAGGCAGCCACTGTGGCAGTGAAGATGTTGAAAGGTGAGTTGTGGGTATAAGGGGGGAGTGGCTTATCAAGAATGCTCCTTTGTGGCATGTGAACTCTGCGGTGGCAGCGGGTCAGAGAGCACATAGTTGACCTGGAGGTTGAGGAGTTTTCAAGATAAATCAGCATCATAGACAGACTATTTATCTTGAGCTGTGTGTACTTATAAAAAGAAAAGCCAGTTTCTTAGCAAGTGGTAACCCCTGGATTGAGTTATTCTTTCACTTCTTGTGGGTGACCATGATTCTTCACTCCCTCTGTGGTTTATGGGCTTAGAAAATATCCACTCACTTAACAGTGATGGATTTTGATGGGAGTTGGTATGTTAGATTCAGGACCCAGATTTGAACTTACAAATAAAGAGAAATAGGCATTTGGGGAGGGAGCTCAGAGAACAGAACACTGCCTTCCTTTTTGCACCAGGAGCAGAGCAGGGATGCTACTGACTTGGTGGAGTCGCTTAGAAGCTAAAAAGGAACTAGCAGTATTGAGACAGGTGCAGAGCCTCAGGGACATGGAAACCATGACCTTGAGATGAGATGTAAATGCTTCATTGTGTTCATGGGATTCAGAACATTTCTGTGCAACTCTTCTAACCCTGCTTCATGCCTGTGTCCATGGAGCTTAGGAAACTTTTAGGCTAAGAGTTATAGGAACGGTCACTTTAAAAATGCTCTTGTAAAGATCTCAGAAAGGAGGTCCCTAGTCCAGTGTTTCCTTGGTCTCCAGGCAGTAAGGGCTCTCCTTGGGATATGGGATGCTGCATGGCCACGTCTGGAGTAAGGCGTTTTCTTTCTTTTATGGGTTGGGTCTTGAGGGATGCTCACCTCATTGTTCTCTGAAGGCAAGTAACAGATTAGAGTTAAAAAAAACCTTGCTAGGTGCCAGTGGCTCACACCTGTAATCCTAGCTATTGAGGAGGCAGAGATCAGAAGGATCATGGTTCAAAGCCAGCCCAGGAAAATAGTTCACAAGCCCATATCTCAAAAAAAAAAAAAAAATCCATCACATAGTAGTGCTGGTGGAGTTATCTAGTTTGTCTTTGAGCTATTGTTTTAAGGTTCCCAAGGAAATCTGGGTGTTCTTCGATGCTCCCTGCCTTGGAGTTTGATGCCAGGGAAGAGATACAAGTGTCTGTACATTGGGACAGAGGCAACCTCTGGTACCTAGGTGTGGGGGAAGACCCGCGCTTTGCATCTTTTATGGCAGGACTTCTGATTCTGCTGATGGGGCTGGGAGTTCCATGGGAATGTTGCAGAAAGGGAGGTCTGGGGGTTGTTTCTCTTCTTAGGCCAAGGCTGGCTGCCATCCCTCTCAAGCTGTCCAAGGACATTAGCCCCAGGGCCTTTCTGGCTCGTTCTTTGTAAAAAGCCAGTGGATGGCTAAGAGCCTGGAGAAAGAGGAACTCCCTGAGCCATGTGTCCACAGGCCTCTCCCCCTTCTTCCTTCTCTCCCTCTCTCCCTCCCTCCCTCCCTCCCTCCCTCCCTATATATCTGGGTAGATTTTGGACACAGTCAATTGTATTGTGCTTCCTTTTGTGAAGTTAAAAAGCTTTTTGCAGCATGGTTCCCATCCATGTCCCTACATAATTTTTTTTTAAAGTCAGCTCAAATTTTTCCATATCGAATTGGCTCGGAGGCTCAGTGGTAGGATGCTGGCCTGGCATGCACAGGCCTTGGGTCTGAGTCTCAGAGCATTTCAAACAATAGCAAGAATGAGCTTGAAGGTGTGGGGTGTATGGGGAGCAGTCTTGCCATTTATGAGAAGCTCACTGTGAACCCATGTGGGTAGAGCAGAGCCTGCTGTGTCCTTGCTTGTTACAGAGCAGGGGGTTGGACCACCTTTTTTAAGGAGGTAATTGGAACCTCTTTTGAGAAGCCAATGGTAGCATGGCCTTTTGCCCCCTCAAAATGCATCCATCCACACACACTTACATATGCAGGTATGGGGTTCCTCCTGAACCCATCTTTGAATGAGCTAAGGACTACTGAGGGTTTGGTTAGGAATTTTTGCTCTGGAGAAAGTTTGAAGTTTGAAGTGATTCAGAATGTTCCTACTAGGTTATCCTCTGTGTGGTCCTTGGAGTCGCTTTCAAGCACCATGAAGCAGAGGGTGCTATCTACATGATAGCAGAGAGTGGGATTATTTCACCATCAAGGAAGACACTGGGGATTGTGAGGTTTGCTGCAGGACACAGAACCTGTGTCTGGTTCTGAGTTTTGACCCTGTTATTCCCAGCGAGCTCTTTGACAAGGAGCAGGGCACTCACTTGCCTGGGCCTTGGTCCCTTCACTGATAAAATGAGGCAGATGACTGCAGAGTCTTTCCTGGATCTAAAATTCAATTTCACACAGTTCCGTCTAAGAGTTTGGCAACTGACAGTGACAGGCTGTGAGCTGGAAGAAACCCACTGATTCACTAATTACCGTTCGTAGATGATGCCACAGAGAAGGACCTTTCTGACCTGGTGTCAGAGATGGAGATGATGAAAATGATTGGAAAACACAAAAATATCATCAATCTTCTGGGAGCCTGCACACAGGACGGTGAGTAGGAAGAAAATATTTCTGTCCCCACGCTCCCTAAGGAAGGTGTTCCCAGACATCCACACAAGGTGGTTTTGTGTCTCTCCCTAGGGAATGGAGAAGATGGGTGTAGGATCCCACTAGTGCTGGGTCATAACCTGGAAGCTGTGTTGGAAAAGGCAGTGTCCTTATGGTTTCTTTTGTAAGTGTCAAGAGAGATTTCTCGAAATAGGATCTTATGCTTTGGTTGAGAAGTTCTTGCCCTAAAATGAGGATAGAGGAATTCCTGTCTTGCTATGGCAGTCGATGGCGTGCTTCTCCAGAATGACTTTGAAGAAAGAAAGTGGTGTAAGGGAGCACGGCTTCCTCAGGAGCAATTCCCTGCTTTCACTGAGCACGTGGGGAATCAACTTAACCATGATTAGTAACTTGAAAATGTTGTTTGACTGAGCCATTTCTCCTTTAGGTCTGTATAGAGATTGGTCACCTTTTTCTGAAAAATGATAATTGTAGATATTTCAAACTTTTTGGCCTGTTTGATGACACAGTTACTTATTCCTGCCATTGTACTGAGAAAGCAGCTTTAGACAAGACAGAAATGAATGGAACTGACCGTGTGCCAATGAAATGTAACAAAGAGTGGGCAGGATTTGGCCTGTGGGCTATCATTTGATAACTCTCAAATCTATACCTTGGAGAAATTAGAGCACATGTGTGTTCGGAATCATGTCTAGCAGTGAGTGTTCCTCGCCCCCCGCTTTCTTATGGCAGAAACCTGCAAGAAACCTACATGCCCGGGTAAAGGGGGAAGCTAAAGTGTGGTATATTGATATCATAGACTGTATGTGGCTGTGGAAAACAATGATCTGGATTCATTTTTGCCAACTGTATTCCGCAAGGATAATGAACAAGTGAAAATGTTACAAAACTCTGTTTACTGTTCATCTATGTGATTAAAATATGTTTTTAATTGATAATTATATGTACATGGAGTGGCTAAAGTGAACTGGAAGGAAGCACTAGCGGGAGAAGATTTCTGATGGCATAGGTGATGATAGGGAAGGGATACTGTCACTGTCTGTGTTTTAATTCTTAAAAGCTTTTGAGGTTATCACGACCAAATGTTGGTTATCATTTTGGAGAGATTAGAAAACAGGTGTTGTAGCTGTGCGTGTATTTTTCTGCATGTTAAATGAGAAAGGAAAAAAAGACTTTGGCTGGGAGGTAGCTCAGTGGTTCCATCCTCAGCATGTTAAAAACAACAGGAAACCACGTTGGGTTGTAGTAACTCAAAGATCTTTGCTGAGTCGCTCACAGACAGGTCGTGTCTTCTCCACCTTAGAGATTCTTGTCTTTGTCACAGGGCCACTCTATGTCATAGTTGAGTACGCTTCAAAAGGCAACCTCCGGGAATACCTGCGGGCCCGGAGGCCACCTGGCATGGAGTACTCCTATGACATTAACCGCGTTCCCGAGGAGCAGATGACCTTCAAGGACTTGGTGTCGTGCACCTACCAGCTGGCCAGAGGCATGGAGTACTTGGCTTCCCAAAAAGTGAGTCCTTCACATTCTCCTTGGTTGGGGAGAAGCCAATTAAGCGTCTTTGAAGAACCAGGCAGTTTGGACATGCCCGTTTGCTAGATCAAGCCCTTGCATGTCTTGTACGACCTGGGAAATATTTATGGTGTTATTCACGTTCAAGTTTAATGAACTCTTTAAAAGCCCGAGAAACCCCATCAACTTAATAACACGGCAGCGATGAGCAGGGAAGATGTCTGTGCTCTGAGACGGAGCGGGTTTGATGCTCTCAGGAATGCAGCTCTCCAGGTGGAGAATGGCTGGGTTAAGGGTGGACCCTTTGATTCTAATGAGTTTTTGGCTTTGTTTGTTCTGAGGTTATTGAGTTTGAGGATGTAGCTGTTAGGTGCTGTGTTTAGGATTTTTGAGTTTGATACGGCATTAAATATTCTAAGAAGAAAGATCAAGTAAAGGAGTATTTTCATTGCATTGAGTCTGGACTGTCTGAGTTTATTTTGTCTCCTTTGGTGAGTGACTCTGTGGTCAAAAGTTGGCCAGGTCCCCCGAGGTGAATGGCCTACATTCCAGTCGTGCCATTACAATGGAACTTGAAACATTCCAGCTATTCTGAGAGCAAGCCAGGCAGGTGTCCCGAGTCCTTGGGGCATTTTGGGGGACCCAAGACGCCTTTCCTCACTGTCGAGGAGTGGTGCAGAACAGCCTGCCTGGGAGAGGTGGGCTCACTCCCACCTGTGGCAGTGCTGGCCACAGCATCAGGAATTCCTCAGCTCCCCCAAGAGGCAAGATCCCTAGTGATAATGGCGTCCTGTCACCCGGGATCTGGGCCAGAAGGGTCATGAGTCCAGATGCCCCAGAGGCCTTCCTAGTCTCATGAGTGAGATGGCCTCTGTCAGATCTTGCAGAGCGGAAGGACTGGAAGGGCGGCTGCACCTCAGCTCTGCTCTGTGTCACGGAGGAAAATGGCCCAGAGCTCCTGGGCCATTTTTCTAATTTTCCAGAGAGTTCAGAGCTTACGACTTTTCCAGATTTTTTTTCCCTGTGAAATCCCCCAACATGTAGGGTTTAAGAAAGTTGTGAACAGTTTTGAGTTCAGGTTGCATGTATGTGGGAGAGTCTTCTAATCAGAAAATCTTTGGCATGAGGAAACAGCCAGATAAGATCCAGAATGTGAGACATTTGACAAAATGTTACATCAAAATGTTATTGTCATAAAAGAAAATATACTGGGGTTGGGGGGGGGTTGGCTAGGTGGGAATCATTGCAGGTTAAAGGAAAGTTTCAAGTTCTAAAGAGGCAACAACCAGATGTGAGGGTGTGGTCCTGGGCTGGCTCCTTTGGGGTAGGAGTTGGAGTGAGGGGTCAGCTTTGACAAAGGCATTGAACAGCTAAAACCTGAATGTTGACTGAAACTTAGGTAACACTGCTGAATAAAGCTGAATTTGGAGCAGGGAGATACAGGTTGTATATTTCTTCCAAAATGCTTGAGGCCAGAAATGTTTCAGATTTGAATTCTTTTGGATCTTGGAATGTTCACATATAGGTAGTGAGACATCTTTGAGACGCAGGTCTAAACACCTGTGTTTTATATGCATAGGCGCCTTTCTGTCATACTTTTAATGATCTTTGTGCAGGAAACAAAGTTATGTGGTAAGGAACTTTCCACTTGTGACATGGTGTCAGCAATCAAGATGTTTTGGATTTTAAAGATTTTCAGATTAGAGTTGTTCAGCCTGTAAATGCTGAAGGGTACACATGAGAAGTAACAGCGATGCCTGCCACTTACTTTTTAAAGAGTCCAGATATAAAAAAGTGTGCATGTTTGTGTGTCTGCGTGCGTGCGTGCGTGCGTGTGTCTGTAGAGGCTGAACGTTGAAGTAGTAAGTATAAATGGATCTGGTGAACGTGGAAAACCATTGAACTATCTCACCTTTTCTGAAACATTTGAACTATTTTAAATGGATGCCTGGTGGAGGCAGTCTGCCCCAACGTGGTCCACTTAAATCCTCTGGGCTTGGGTTCTCTGAGGCACTGTGTTAAGGTGGGAGATACTGGTGGGTGGATGTGGGAGGATCTTCTCTGTATCTAGCAGGGCATCCTGCTAATACAAAAGTGACAGGGGGTTAGCCTTATCTTATTCAGTCCTTCATCAAACATTCTATAGGTCTCCCCAGGCACCTTGTGCCCTAGGTCAGCTCCCCAGAGAGTTAGGGAAGTAATTCTTGTCCTCATGGAGCAGGAACCATGAATGACAGTACAAGAGATTGCTGATAAATGTGGAATAAAAAGAATTGGACTTTTAAAATGGGAAATAAACAGTGTGATAAGGTTCTACTTATTTGGAGCCCTAAAACCCCGAGAAGGGACCCTGGACTTGGCTGTCGGTGGCATTGAGGGGAGTAACAGGGTTGGATTTGTGCTTTGCAGATCGCTTCTGCTTCTTGCATGGTGGGCTGGAAGTGCCCAGTCCTGTAGAATGTGACAGTGGTTTGGGCCAGGGTTTTTTGGGTCCCAAAAAACTCAGTTGAGTTTTCTCCCAACTGAGAGAAGTTGGTAGTTTGATTCTGAGCACATTTTGCTGTCATGATGGTGGACTGATTAGGTGAGAGGGAGAGGAGATGCAGGATGGCTCCTGATTTCAGCTTGAGAAACTGGATGGGTGGGTTGTACCTTTCAAGATGAGGAAGACTTGGGAATCTGGAGGCAGGGCAGGAGATAGATTTTAGTGGAAAATCTAGAGCTTGTGTGGAACATATCTGTGAGCCATTCAAGGAAAGAGGTCAGTCAACAAGCCACCAGCTAAAGCTCAGCTCCAAGGGCTGGTGGAAGTTAGGAAACCACAGAGGGAGATGTGACATCAAGCTGTGGCAGTGAGCAAAGTCACCCAGGGAGAAGCTTAGAAGAGAAAAATGAGAAGCCTGGAGTGGAATCCTGGGAGAATACTCAAGTCCTAAGATTGGTGAAAAACTCTGGAAGTACATGGAGGCCGAGCAGACCTGGTGAAACTGAGGAGGAATGCTAGATGCGGTTTGCAGAGGCCACCAAGGAGGGCTTCTGGAAGGAGGAGGGGTCAGCTGTGCATCTTCGCTTAGAATGGGGGCAGAAGCACATACGTTGGGTCTGGTCGCAGAGCCAGTGGTGGCCCCGCTCCACCCTATCTCTGCATGGTGGAAAGAGAACTAAGTGTCGATGGGAATTTATGGAATGGGGGAGTGACTACATTTCAGGGTGACAGAAGGGAAGGATGAAAGCACCCTTATTAATGGGGTTGTGACAATAGGAGTTCTTGCTATTACTCATCACAACCATGTTTTGATCACCTACAGTTGGCCAGGTGTGGTGGGAGGCACCTGACCCAGAGTACCTTATGTAACTCTGGGAATGACTCTGCCATTGGCAGGGTTAGGACCCCCCATCTCATGGGTGAGGGTGCTGAGGACTGCTAGGAAGCCATAGGGAAGCTTTGAGCCCAGGCCTGGCAGAATCACTGTCCTCACTTCTGGAATGAGACCCATTGGTCCCAGACCTAGGTCCCTGCTCTCATGTGATCCCTGCCTCTCAGGCAAACCAATGAGAGTTCCTGTGCTGGGTTTTGGTTAGTAACCCTGTGTGGCTGTCTCCTGGACCTTGCAGAAGAACCCAGGGTAAAGGGACAGTAAGATCCCTTAGGGCATTATGTAGTTCCAAAGCTTAGTGCCATTTGCGATTAAGGACCTAGAGGAGGCTTAAAGGGTGGCAGGTGAAGGTCTTAAGAATGCTCCCCTTGGAAGGAGCCTGCTTCCAAAACTGGAGGGCATATTCATGGATGTGGAGATGGGAAGCAGGGAGTCAGATGCTGCTATCCATGGCTGTCCTGTCCCCTCTCCATGGCTTGTTAGAGAGCCACTTCTTGGAGGAGGCAGAGGAAAATGGCCATGTCACTTTGTCACTATGAAGGCAACCCACCAGACAGTTTCTGAGCCAGGCTGGCAAGACTGAGGTGCCTGACCTCAGGCAGCTGTCACTGTGTGAAGGTGTGTGGGGTAAGGAGTGGAGTCAGACACCATGGTGCGTGTAGAGATACAGTTAGTAATGGGGTGTTTGAGTCTTATACAACTTACAAAATCCTTGCTATTTTTAGTTCAAAACAACTGATATTTCTTTCTTAACCAAATTCCAAATCTAGTTAAACTTCCAAAGGGTTAAACCTGAGGTTTTTTTTTTTTCCTAAGTAAACACCATCATCTGCGTCTGTAAAATGGGTGCAATCATGCCCATCTCCCAGGTCACCATGGGAGTTCACATGGTTAGCACTGGCCCAGAACACTGCATTACAGGATGTTAGCCTTACTTCCCGGTGTGACCCTTTGCCTATGGATATCAGTTGTTTTTTTTTTTTTTAGTGGCACTGGGGCTTGAACTCAGGGCCTCACACTTACCCTTTGCCTGTGGAAAACAGGCAAACCACACTGACCCAAGGTCCTAATTATGTAAGTAATCAGCTCTCTGGGCTGTTTTTAATTATTTTCTTTTTCTTGGGCACTGGTTCCAAGTCTTCTGTTCAGCCCAGAGGGGGCCTTTGGTGTTTCCTGGCACCCTGGGGTGAGGGGTGACCGTGCTAGACAGGATGGTGGTGGTAGCCCTGGGGAGCAACTGTCACACTTGAGCCCTGATGTGTGGTCGGAGCCCAGCGCAGGGGAAGCTGGATTCTTCTGACTGCGTTGCTTGCCAAGCACACAGAGCGCATGTCGGCAGGAGCACGCCACCGGGAGCGCTTGGCTCAGGGCTTGGAAGTTCAATTTGAAGAGGCCTCCAAACCAGGAACACGGCCCAAGCCCAAGCGGATCTGCAGGCAGCTCTGGGAGCTCTCACATTTCCTGCTCCCAGTCTGGCCCAGGACATGCAGACTTGATGGCTTCTCTATTTCTGATCTTTGCCCTCCCGCAGAAGCAAACGGACACAAGGGGTAGCTGGTGGGAGGACAGAGTCAAAGAACTCCTTATTGATATTTCAGGGGTGTTCAGGCTGGTTCCTTTGTTACTGGGTCATTTCATGGAGTGTCCATCTGAGATCAATCCTATTTCAACTTGTCCAGAGGATCGATTAGTCGGTTTCATGAGAGTGAATCTTTGCCAGTCACCCGTGTAGAAGCGGTTGATGGTGCTATTTGCTTGCTTATTTGTAGCTCATCTACAAGACCCAAAAAATAGAGAGGGATCATTTGGGCCCTAATTACCACATATGTTGATGAAATATGGCATATTAAAGGGCAGCTAAAACAAACAGCTCCCAAAAGCTTATCGTTTGTAGTCCAAAAGTAGAGTCGTCATAAGAACTTGACCTGCCAGAGACTAGAGCGTTACTATCAGGACAGTATGTCAGCCCCAGTCTTGAGCTGTCCAATAGCCAGCTTTGCAGCTTTCAGCCCTTATGTATGTGGCAGACCTGGCATTGCCCCTTGTGCGGACCAGGAGTTGTGGTCGACTGGACTGGGCATGTGGATAGATGGGCATTGTCCCTGAGATGAGCCAGGAGAGGGCACGGCTGCTGTGTCTGAAGCACAAGTTATGGGGAGTGAAGAAGGAGAATCCAGCTGAGTTTGGAAGGCACTGTGGCAGTCTGTGAGGGCAGGGGTGGACAGTGACCACAGCCTGGACTGAGGGATCAGCAGTGGAGTGACAGTTTGGAGTTGTAATCAACAGGACTAGGTGTAAAGAATGCCGACATGTTGACAGGAATTAGAGGAGTAGAAACCTTGAATTTGAGAAGTCAGGAGGACATCAATGTGGCAATATCCCAGAACAAGCTAAAAATAAAGAGTGGGTCTCAGGGGACAGAGACTGGAAATTATAACTGTTTTGTCTGATCCAGAGATTGATGCCATGAGGGTAGATAGAAATACACAAATCTAATGGCCCTACTTTGAGGGACAGAGGAAGAGAGAGCCAGTCTAAGAATCTGAGAGGGTGGGAAGAGAGGAAGTGAGCCAAGACAAAGAGATGGGGGGAGGATGCAGTGAAAGGATGGTTTTTAAACTGAATAGGAATCAACAGCGTGTGAAGCTGCAGAGCAAGAAAAACTGAGGAAATAGAAGAGGTGGTTTGGATTCGATAATGGAGAGGTTCTTCATATCCTTTAGAACAGGCAGAGCTTGAAAACACATCATTTATAGAAAGGAAATAAAGAAGTTATGACTAAAACATTTTAAGGCCAAAGAGTTATTAACAAGATAGGTCAGATTGTTAGAGAAATGACCAGAAGGTGAAGAAGATGTGAGGTTGGAGCTTAACCAGCTCATCTGGAAATTTGGCTGTGAAGAACAGGAGAGAGCAAGTGTTGCAATAAAACATTATAACTTGATCTAATACTAAACTTACGTGCAGCTGAACGAGGAACAGTGGTGTCCTGGACAACCTCAGATAAAAGAGAATGTGGTTTTTCAGTTCACTTTTGCTCTCTGAAATGACTGGGGACTTGGTTTGTTTGTTTGTTTTTCATTAACAAATAAATACCAGCGTCTTGTTTAAGGCTTTCAAATGGCTAGTCCACCTGCTTGATCTTACAGCACTGATATGGCTCTTCCAATCCACTACAACCAGTTTTTGACTTGTGGTGTATTTTCTGTTTTGCATTTTAAGAAATGTGAGTATTTCCTTTTAGTGCTTGAAGCATTTTGAAGTTAGCTCTTTCTCATCCCGCCTTATTGATTTCAGTGTATCCATCGGGATTTAGCAGCCAGAAACGTGTTGGTAACGGAGAACAATGTGATGAAGATAGCTGACTTTGGACTGGCCAGAGATATCAACAACATAGACTATTACAAAAAAACCACAAACGTAAGTCTGTCTACAGCATCACATAGAGGAGAGGAGAGGGGATGGTCTGGGGTGCAGAATGTCCCCATGTGCAAGTTCAGGCCTGGAAGGAGCTGTGGGTTTCATCGTCCACCCTTCATTTTGTTCTGCTTTGTTCCTCACTGACTCGCAATAGAAGCAAAGCTATACTTAAAATAAGTTTAGTAAACGTGACACACTCTTTATGTGTGCCTCCAGGTTTTCACATGGCTCTGTCAAGAACGTTCATAGCAAAGAATAGAACCTGGAAGCTGCCAGGTTAATTTCTGCCTAGCAGTTGGTCAGGGTGTGTCTCTGCTTGGGGGAGAGAAAATGAAAATCCAAAGAGGTGGCGTTTTATTCATGAGCCCACGTCTGCCTCCCACACGTTTCGGCTAGTCCTCTTTGGAGCTTATTTCTGCCCTAATGACTGGCCGATGAAAACCGTGAGAATGTCAGCTCTTAAACAGGGCCCAGCCCTGCTGAGCCTGTTAAAGTAAGTTGTTTTAACCTGTGAGTTTTTACATTTTCTTCCATATTTGCAGGGGCGACTTCCGGTCAAGTGGATGGCTCCCGAAGCCCTTTTTGATAGAGTGTACACACACCAGAGTGATGTGTAAGTGCCCCCATTCCTTTGACCTCCTTCGTGGGGTGGAGTTGCAGAACTCTTACACGTTCTTGCCTTTCTTCATCCTTTGGTGGCTGCTGTGTCACACACATTTGTAGAAGGCACAGAAATTTCCTTGGAAAGGACTGAGTTCTTGGTAAACTGGGACCCAGTGCTCGGTCACTAGTCTGCCTACCTTTAAAGAACACAGGAGGCAGAACCCCAGGCTCCTCCTGCCAGAGCAGAAGTGCCTTCCACAGATCACAGATGTGCACCTGCAAAGCTCTGTCTGCTTTGCCAAACTTTTGGCATGTTCTTCACTCCCCCAAAGAAGTACTTCTGATGGGCATGGTGGTACAGGTGTGTAATCCCAGCACTCAAGAGGCAGAGGCAGGAGGGTTACAAGTTTGAGGCCAGTGTGGCCAGTTTGAGACCAGATAGTAAGATCCTATCTCAAAAAACTAAGGCCTGGGGATATAGCCATGGCAGAGCACTTGCCTAGCAGAGTTTAATCCCTGGCACCACAAAAAAGAAAGGAAGGAAAAGAAAGACTCCTGCCGGTGGAGCGGCTGAAGTGATAGAGTACCTGCCTGGTAAATGCAAGGCCCTGAATTCGAACCCCAGTACCATTCTACTTAGGTGATACTATGTTGTACTTCCGCTGATACAGGTTTGTCCTTAAAGGGTGATAGTGAGTGAGCTACTCCTAGCTCTCCACCACATCTGCTTGCTACGGTTATGTTTCGAAAGTCTGGTCTTATCTTACTCTGCTTAATAGCATTCTAGAAATATAGTAGCAATTATGTAACATTCTATCATGACACACTTAAAAGTGTTGTTAGGGCCAGGTGCCGGTAGCTCACGCCTGTAATCCTAGCTACTTAGGAGTCAGAGGTCAGGAGGATCGCAGTTTGAAGCCACCGTGGGCAAATAGTTCACAAGACCCTATCTCAAAAATACCTTCACAAAAAATAGGGCTGGTGGAGTAGCTCAAGGTGAAGGCCCTGAGTTCAAGCCCCAGTACTGCACCAAAAGAAAAAAAAACAAAAAACTAACCAACCAAACAAAAAAAAACCATGTTGTTAGAGTCAGGCTCCAACTAATATTGTCATATGGACATTCACGTGAAAGATGTTATCGTTGGAAGAAACTGGGTGAAAGGTACTATTTTTGCAAGTTCCTGTGAGCCTATAATTATTCCAAAGGAAAACTTTTTACAAAAAATCAGTTGAGCTATTTATTATTGGCGTGAGTAGGAGGATTTCCTGTGGGGCATGGATTCTGCACTAGGCTGCTTTGTCCTTGTCAACAATCCGGTAAGGAAGGTGTGCCCATCGCCACTTACGCAGGGAGAAAACTGAGGCTCAGGGCTGGTTCTGCTGTGTTGTGTTGTGTGCTGCTTTTGCTCAGTAGAACAGTGGGGAGGGTTTCATTCCTGAAACTGACCAGCGTAGTCTATAAGTGACCATAGCTGCAGTGACAGAGGTAAACCTGGGATTCTCTGCTTGATTTTCCTGGAAACTGAGTCTCCTGATCTGGGCTCAGAAGATCTAACTGTGGATCTCTGAGAAGCCAAGAATAAATGGTACCCTATGGGATGTGTTCAGTGTCTGCTATGTGTCACTCATCCAGGACAGGCACAGGAGTCTTCCAGTCTAATCCCAGCCCTGTTGCTGGCTCCATTTACTATCTCAGTAAATCACCGAACCTTTGCGCCATGGGTGCACCGCCAGCCGCCTAGGGCAGGCATCTTCTCACAGAATCTTCTGTCAGCTGCTCATACCATAGACCACAGAGCACACAGGGAAGCAGAAGGTTAGACAGGAATACAAAGGGTGTTGAAGCCCAGTCATCCACATTCTCCAGTTGCCTACGCTACGTTCAAGATGAAGAACTTGAACTGCAATGGTGGTTTGCCTTTTTGTCTGAGGATGGAAAATCTCAGCAGTGCATCCACATGTCATCATTTAGGGAGGCCCTGTGAGGTCAGGAAAAGGAGGATGAATTGCGGGAGGGCTCATTTATCTCTAACTTCACAAGTGAGTGGGTGTTTATTTTTTCAACCGGGCATGTTTAGGTTTCCGCGGTGTGGACGGGTTAGTAATGCTAGGTTTTCTCTCTTCCTTGCAGCTGGTCCTTTGGGGTGTTAATGTGGGAGATCTTCACCTTAGGGGGTTCGCCCTACCCGGGGATTCCCGTGGAGGAACTTTTCAAGCTGCTGAAGGAAGGACACAGGATGGATAAGCCAGCCAACTGCACCAGTGAGCTGTAAGGGCCGATACCTCCCCTGCGACATCTGTCACCTTTCTCCTGACTTGTCTCTGTTTCCTAAGGCCTCAATTTTCTCAACATGCTCTAAGAAGAGGATTTGCTGAAACTGTCTAGGTTCAGTCTTAGAACCGAGATAGATAGCTACACTGACAGCCATTACTTGTCGAAAAGAAAGAATATCCTGTCAAAGAATATGGAGTTGACTCTAAATCACAGTGAGCTGCTGGCTGCTCAGGCCGGGGCAGAAGTCTTCCTGGGCCACTGTGGTGTTCCTCAGAATGACAAGATCAGGGACAAACTATAATGCCATGGGTCTGTTCCCATACACATGGCAAGTGGAGAATGGACTTTGACCGTTGAAAATTGCCATTACAGATTGACAGCAACCATACTTCCTCATACGAGCAAATGAACCTAGTATCTGGTTACCTGTATGTCACCCATTTTTCAGGGCAGAGAACTAAAAATTTTCCTGCTACCATCCTTAGGCTTCTAGGTCTAACTATAAAACCGTGAACTGGCTTCTAGAAAAACCTACCTCACTCTGTAGGTAGAATCCTGCTGAGTTAGTGACGCGTGCCTTGTGCAATAAAATCAGTGCTTTGTAAAGGAGGCTCTGTCCCCTCCCCCAGGATGAACTAAGGACGTGATTGTCCCAGACACTGTGCTCTATTGTGTGTGCTGCATGGGGATTTATATAAGTAATCCCATGAGTGCTTTTTGGTGTACAGTGGATGCTTGATGAATCGCCACATTTTATAGTATATGATATAAAAGCATTTATTGTGCTCCCTGTCACCTCTATTGCTTTTCTAACATAGTGGTTCTGTGGAAACTCATAATCTAGATAAGGTCGGGAAGCTCAGCCCATCCAAGAGCTAATCAGGAAGTTAGTGTGAAGCCAGCAGTGGCAGATTAGTTCAGAAAAACCTTACCTCAAATTTGTGGTTTGCAGACTTGACTTTTTTATTAAAAAAACAAAACCAAACCAAAGAACCTCTGCTAACTAGACTCTTTAAAACAAAACCCAAAGTGTGACTTGGGCAGGAGTGTTTGGGGAGGAAGAACAGAAACCAGCTGCAAACCTATGTCTCTTCCTTTGACCTCGAGAGATGCCTGACCAGTGGGATATCATGATACGTCACACTGTCACGGGGATAGCAGCAAAACATGTAGCTGTGTCTGTCTTGATGCCTTCCACAACCATTCTGGATAAAGTGATGCTTTGGTAATGCAAGTGGCTTTCAGAGAATCCCAAAGTGAATAGTCCCCTACCTTCTCGTGTAGTTGGCCAGGAAGTGTGGAGGCACTCTCCTGGTGAGGACATACGTCCATCTTGCCCACTCGAACTGTCTGTAGCTGTGTATCCAGTGTTTAATGAAAATCTTTTTTTTCCAGGTATATGATGATGAGGGACTGCTGGCATGCCGTGCCTTCACAGAGACCAACTTTCAAGCAGTTGGTAGAAGACTTGGACCGAATTCTAACCCTCACAACCAATGAGGTAAGACCCTCCTTCCAGAACCCACTGACCTCGTCTGACTTGGGACAGAAGCTCAGGTTTTTACATGCAGGCTCCCTTGGAGTCTGTAGTAGAGTTTATCATTCTTCCATGAGGTCAGAGAGAGCTAAACTGTGTTCCTCTTCAGTTGGAATTTTTCTTGGAACTGTATTATGTGAATTCTGACTCATGAGATCAGAAGATTGAGGGCCCCCTGAGCTCCCCTCATGGTGGCTGGTAGTGCTGTGGCTCAGGGCATATGTGGGAAGGAAGTGTTTAGCTGTACCATTTTGGGGTATGTGAGAAGGAGCTGCGGTGCGTGCTATGTGCTCACTGGATTCCGTGCCCTGGTACTTAGCGTGAGACCTGCAGAAGAGCTGGACTGAATGCAGAAAGGGTCTATAATTCCAGCTTCTCACCAGCACAGTGCTGCCTCTGTGATCCTATTGCAAGGGCTTGGGTCTCTTTCTGTGTGGACACACACAGTTTCCTATGATAAGGGACTTTCAGGGTTTTTAAGAATCATTCATTCATTCATTTGCAGTACTGGGGTTTGAACTTGGGGCCTACACCTTGAGCCACTTCACCAGCCCGTTTTCTTGATGGTTTTTTGTTTTGTTTTGTTTTGTTTTTCAAGATAGGATCTCACAAATTATTTGCCCAGGCTGGCTTCAAACCTTGATCCTCCTGATCTCTGCCATCTGAGTAGGTAGGGAAGGTTACATGTGAGCCACTGGCACTTGGCTTGAAGCATTTATTTTGGATACAGTATTTATAATCTTTACCAGCCAAAGGAACATGGTCTGTCACTCAGTGCCCAAACTTAGCCATGTCTGTAGCTGATAAGATGACTTTTAGGTTTAAGGAAAGAATATACCCAGAGCAGGAGAGATGATAAGCCCACTGAGGCCAGGAAAAACCCACAATAGAGATGTCATTAAGAGTTTTACTTGTTGAGGATGTAGAACAGTGTCTTTCACACAGCAAGAAAAAAATTGCACGGTTGTCTCAACAAAAACAGTTAAGATATCATAAACATGTTAGAAGGAAATCAATACACTTAATTTCTGATTTAGAAAATAGTTTCAGAGTGATTTTTTTTTTTTTAAATCAAAGTAGCGCTGAGAAGCAACTAAACCCAGCAACTTTATCTTGTGTGTCTAACTCTGACTTGTGCTGGACGAAGGAAGAGATTGCATTTAAATGAATACAGCTGACCTTCAGAAGTTGAAAGGAATAGTTCAAGGGGAAAAAAAAAAAAAGAACCTAACTTTCTTCTCCTGCCAAAATTGTTGTTTCTAGTATAAGTTCCTTTAACCCTAGGCTTGGAATCCAGTGATACTCCTTTTTTTTTTTCCTATCAGATCTGAAGGTTTATGGCTTCATTTAGAAACTGGGAAAAGCACTAACGTCCTGTTTCAGTACCTCACATCCATGTTGAATATTAATGTATTTATACATTTACATCTAAGGCTGGTCCGTTCATACTGAAATTTATATGTGGTACCTAAAATAAGAACGCAGAATGCCATGTTGTCTAATGGATATAAAAATCAAAGTTTCTTTCCTTCCGAAAATCATTACCATATGCTTGAGAAAAATGGTTCCATTTAGGACAAAATTTCATTTTTATCATTGTAAGCAGAAAGTTCTCTTTTGATGTGGTGGGCGTGTTTGTTTCAAGCTGTGTGGTTAATGCTGATGTTGTTGGAACTGACACATCCCCCTTCTTGGATGGGGACTCTTTCTCTTGCCAACCCTGGTGATGAATTATAGTGGGTTTTTTGTCTCTTAAAATGTATGGTCGCCAACATTCCGTGGGCTCTTTTCTGATAACGTGCAGGCTGTTTGTGCTGTGGTCTGTGCCTTCTGCCCCCTCTTAGCAAAACCACATGTCAAGAAGAGCCGCTGGCTTCTGTGTGTGTGAGCTGAACCACCCCAATGTGCCGGCTGTGTCCAGGCAGCAAGGCCACGAAGGTCCCGGCTTAGAAATCTTTTTGGTAGCTTCAAAGCAGGATTGGCAAATGCTGTCTGTGAAGGGCAGAGAGAGCCATGTGGTCTCTGTGGAGACTCCGCCATCATAGCACGAAAGCAGCTCAGACTGTATGTAAATAAGAGAGGGTCTGTGTTCCACTAAAACTTTATGGACCCTGAAATTGGAAATTATATCATTTTCTGTCATTCGGATACCATAAGACAGGAGTTTTTCCACCGGCTGACAAATACTAAAAACTATCTTTAGTTCACGTGCTATATACAGAGACAAGACTTGTGCCCTGTCCCATTCAGAGGATGCGTTCGTTGTCCTGGGTGACCCAGTGAGATTTCAGCAGCAACACCAGTGGGTGCTTTGGGGGAGCAGGAAACCTTTCTTTTTTCAAAACTCTGCAGCTTGACTTCTATTTACCTAAACTCTCCTTTAACGGCCCATTTTGGAGTTAACATCCATGAGTGGATACAAGCCTTTTTTGAACCTATTTACGTTTTCAACTCAGAACTTCTGAGAGTAATGGATTACATCTGTTAAATTATGCACTGAATGGAGAAGTATTCCCCTTTAGAAACATAATCGTAACGTGATTCAGAAAATAAATATCCATGCTCTTACTTTTTGAAGGGGTCCTGCTGGGCATTTCTATTTTGTCGGGGCTCGAACTTGAACCAGGAGTCACTGAGATCCTTGTAGATAAAGGTGACCACCCAGCACCTACAGTTAAATACAGTTTATCATTCTCTACTTGCCAGTGGTTTAATCCATGATGTGTTGTAGGAAAAGTTTAGGGCAGCCTCAGTGAGGGAATTTGGGGTCTGGGGAAGGTCTCTGTGCAGTCAGGTGGGCTGGGGCTCTGTACACCTTCCAGGGGTTCCCCTGTCCTGTCCCAATGATACTGATGTCACAGAAGCCTATGTTTGAAATAAGATTCTTCTCTTCCCTTCTTTCAGGAATACTTGGACCTCACTCAGCCTCTCGAACCATATTCACCTTGTTATCCTGACCCAAGATGAAATAAAACGTCTCTCTTCCCTTCTTTCAGGAATACTTGGACCTCACTCAGCCTCTCGAGCAGTATTCTCCTAGTTACCCCGACACAAGGAGTTCTTGTTCTTCAGGAGATGACTCTGTGTTTTCTCCGGACCCCATGCCTTACGAACCCTGTCTGCCTCAGTATCCACACATAAATGGCAGCATTAAAACATGAATGAACATGTCTTCCTGTCCCCAGCCAGGAACCTACCTACACTGAGCAGGGAGGCCTTGCCTCTACCAGCTTGTTACTGCCACTTGTATATATGGATCAGAGGAGTACATAATCAGAAAAGTAATCGGCACACGTGTAAAGGTTTATACAGTTGAAAACTTGTCATCTTCACCAGGAAAAGAATGTTTCTGGAGCAATGGACAGCCACCATGCCACCCCTCTGACCCACCATGGGTACTGTCTGTGCCCCAGTTGGACTCAAGGCAGATGTACATTCTGCCTTCCTTGTTAATTTTGTAATAATTGGAGAAAATATATGTCAGCACACACAGAGCACAAATGCAGTATATAGGTGCTGGATGTATGTAAATATATTCAAATTATGTATAAATATATATTATATATTTACAAGGAATTATTTTTTGTATTGATTTTAAATGGATGTCCCAATGCACCTAGAAAATTGGTCTCTTTTTTAAAATAGCTATTTGCTAAATGCTGTTTTAGACAGAATTTCTTAATTTTCACCGAGCAGAGGTGGGAAAAATACTTTTGCTTTCAGGGAAAATGGTATAACATTAATTTATTAATGAATTGGTAATATACAAAACAATTAATCACTTATAGTTTTTTTTGGTAATTTAAGTGGCATTTCTAAGCAGGCAGCACAGTGAACTAGTTAAGAGAAATATTTAGAATCTATGACTAATTTGGAGGAGATAAAGTTTTGATTTGTTTTAAACCATTTAAACCACTGAAATGGCCATCACAAGAACCCATTAATAGCAGGGTGTTTTGCTTTGGTACACAGTTCTGTCATTGGGCCAATGCAACTTTTAAGTGGACCTCCCAAGACAAATGGTCAGTAGATACCAGTGTCCTTGTTCAAAGATGCCTTAATCCATTCTGTGAGGACAGACTGTAGTTGGAATGACGGTAGCATGGGTTCTCTCCAGCAGCTGGCCTTCTGCCCTAGAGTCGTACGTGACCCAGATTAGTAAATATTCCCTTCAGTGGATTTTGATAATGGCTTCCAGGTTCTTTGGCTTCAGAGAAGCCTTTGGGAGTCTTCACGCCCCACCATAGAAAACTGAAATTCTAGCATTGTTCTGCTGAGAGTTTGGGGGCGACTTCTACCTTCCTCCTGGATTGCTTCTGTCTTCTTCTAAGACCTCACCAAAAGATCCAGCCTGATACCAACTTCAGACAAAACACCACCGTACTGCGGATTCTGTATTAAAGTATTGTGTTTTGCTTTCGAAACACCCACTCACCTTGCTATACCCATGCAACATTAATGCAGATTACACTGATTTTGTGTGATATGGAATTGGAGAGAGTATTTAATAAAACCTGTTAATTTTTATACTGACAATAAAATGTTTCTACAGATATTAATGTTAACAGGACAAAATAAATGTCACTCAGCTTATTTTTTTAATACTTGTGTCTTACCAAATGGTTTCCTATATTTGGAGATGTTGATGGAGTGCACAGAAGGCAAAGTTGAAAGGCTCCTGGACAGGTGAATCCAGTGGTTTAGCCCTGGCTGGGTCTTTAACCAGTACCTCAGGGGAGAGGGTTATTGTTCCTTCCTGGGTGCTACTTATTCCCCAGAGGAACACAGGAGAAATGCATGGGAGGTAGTGTCACAAACCTGGAGGCAGCCAGGTTACCTGGATTCCAGGGACCTTGAGACTTTTTAGGTGCTTTTCCCATGCTGCCTGGAGAATAGAATTCATTTCACATTTTCTAAAGGAAGCATGGACACATTTTTTAAAAAGTCATACCACAAGTACAGTTTTGCCTATCCGTTAACACATTGTGGATCTATGACCCATAAGGCCGTTATGTCTGCCTGTTGAAGGTGCTTCTGTGCCAGGACAGATGAAAACTGGCCCTTCACCTGCACTTCATCCATTCTCTTAGAGCCTTGCAGGGCTTCTCAGAGTTAAGTAGTGCTGTCCTATGGGTCCCTGTTGGATTTGAGGCCATTGGTGGTAGAGCAAGGGTCTCACTGCGCATTAGAAGAGCCTGTTTGCATCTTTGGTTCTACTTATGTATCTGCCAGCTTCATGGGCTTCCATTTCTTACTCGTAGAGCAAGGTTATGATTCCACCACAAGATCACAATTAAAAAGTAAGGTATGTGGGGCGCGGGGTGTAGCTCAATGTAGAGCACTTACCTATCCACCTTAAGGCCCTGCGTTCATCTCTCGCACAGCAATATAGGGTATGTGAAAACAGCCTAATGATGAGCGCATGGTCACAGGGATTATTCTGCAGCCCTCTGGATGTTTCCACCCATTTGCTAGGCCTGGGGAAGATGCACCTGCTGATACTGACAGGTGTGTTTAAAGTCAGGCTTAGCATCCCCACCTGTTCTCTGTTCAGATGGGCGATGTGTTGGTACACATCCACCCAAGGGGCAGTTTATGGCTTTGACTATGTAGATTATAATGGAAGTAAGAATTGCTGTACTTTTGCTTGTTTCAGGGAAATGGGTGGGCAAGAATTCTAAACCAGCTGTTGGCAATTGTAACTTTAGAATTACTTTGAGATATTTGTCCTGAAGGGAAAGAAGGCAGGATGGTCCATGAAAAAGGTGAGCCTTTTTTTTTTTTTTTTTGAGACTTTCCCTAAATAAACATGCAGGCAGGGCTTGAAAGAATCCTGGTGCTTATGGTCCTCTCTCCCAAAACCTAAAGAAAGCTTGGAAAATTAATAAATTCTAATTGTTATCAAGTCGTGAGATCAGTTCAGTTATAAAGATTGAAGGTGTCTTGGATAGGTAGTGTCTGAAATCTGCTGTTTCTAGTTAGAAAAGGATTCAAGAAGCCACTTCAATGTCCAGCTAGTGGTGGCCTCAGGACAGGAGCATGAAGAGGCAGAAAGAAGAGTTCTGTGGTTCCCGAGGGGTAGAGGACCCCTCATCCACTGCCCAGCCTCTTCTCCATCTTCCCTCCATGAGCTTTGTTTAACCCCACCCAGGAAATTAAAACAATCAGCAAAACATCTGACAGCCAGGGAGGCACAACCACCATTCTGAGAACTAGACTAGCCAAGGTCCAGAGAGCTTGGCTAGTACAGAACAGGAATTTGACACTTGGCTTCAGGTTTCTGAGGGTTACCTAGCTGGGCAGGGGTCGAAGTAAACAAGACTATGGTTTGGCACAGTACAGGAGAAAAGGGCTGGTGGGCTTGGACAGAATCAGGCCAGTGTGTTTACTTACAGCTGGGCGATGTTGAGCAAATCATGGAATCTGTCTGGACATTTATTTCCTCCACTGTAAACCTGGCTGTCACCAGCCTCACGGTGTTCCCCTGAGGATTACCTGTAGGAGCTTAACTCTGGCAGATGGTACTCAAAAGATGTTTCCTTTTCCTTGATAAATTGTTTATACATTCCAGTGGTTTTTAAAATATGTTTGCAATGTTGTACAAACATCACAATTACCTAATTCTAGAATATTCTCAGCGCTCCAAAAAGAAACCCTGCACCCGCCAGCAGAAACTTTTCATCCCTCCTCCCAGAAACCGTCATCTGCTGTCTATGGGATTACAGTTGCAGACATTTCATGTGAATAGGATCATACAAGATGTGGCCTTTTGTGTCTGGTTTTCTGAGTGTTTTAGGGTTCATCGATACTGTAGTGTGTATTAGTACCTCCTTTTTATCCCCGAATTCTGCTGTGTGGATATACCATTCATCCACTGCTGGGCATTTGGGTTGTTTTTACTTTTGGACAATTAAGAATAGAGCTACTGCTAACATTCATGAAAGTTTTTGTGTGGTCATGTTTTTATTTATTTTGCTTATACACCCAGGAGCGGAATTGCTGGGTTGTATGGTTAACATCTAGACTGCTGAGGAACTGTCAGACTGAGTTCCAAACTTGCTGGACTATTTTGTATTTCCACTAGTAATGTTCCCATGTCTCCACATCCTTGCCAACATTTATTATTGTCCATATTTTTAATATGGTTTAATAGCTAAGGAGATATCACTCAGATCAGGGGTCAAACATACATGATACCTTACTGGCCTTTTCAGAAAAAGATGCTTCAATAAATCAGCCTTGCTTCCACACTTACGAATGCATGACTAAGATAGCTAAGAGGCCTTCTGGTTCCTAGCGGAATAGAAAGGCTGAGAAACTGATCCACTCCCTCTTTTTTCTCTTGGCTGGGAGAGGAATGAAACACTGACCACCACGCGATACAAAGGGTAGGGCTTCTTTCTGAGGGCATCTCTACCGCCCAACGCCAGTTTTACTCCAAGTATAGCCTGATGACCTTGAGCGAGCCATGGGGACTAATTCATGCACCATTACTTATGAATGCACACGCGAGTCCTCAGCCAGCCTGCATTTTGATGTTATTTATTTTTGGATGTCTTTTGAGATAAAAGTTTATCTTCTCTCACATTTCATCCCCAGGAAGCCTTCAAGTGACTTGGCTGTTTACTCTGGGCAGGGACAGCAGAGCCTTCCATGTCTTCAGTGACATTTTGGAATGGGGCCCTTGTGGGCCTATTTTCCTGGGATTTGGTGGTGGTGGGGGCATTGAATGGACTCTCCAAATTGCCTTGCAGTCTTGTTTCAGGGGGTCACGTGATGTGTTATTCAGATAGTAGGTGGCCAGCACCAGTCGTCATGAGCTCCAGCCTCTCAGGGCGTTTGAAATAAAAGGCAGGGGATTCCTGCCAGTTGGTGAAGTGGAGCCCCAGGGCATGAAGCAGTTCAGGAACAGAATTCAGCTTCAAATACATGTGTGAACAAGTGACTTTTCCTTCTGTGTTCATCCCACTGCCTCCTGCTGGGCTGGTTTTTCAGACTTTTTGTCCTCTTCTAATTCTTTTCTTGATTCCAGTTAAGTGTATCCTTCCTGTATAGGCACACAAGTCAAAATGCAGAGAGTGATGTACTTGGAAATGGACAGGACACTGAACAGTTTGATAAATTAAGAATAAAGGAAGGCGGGATGTAGTGGTGGATACCTGTAATCTCAGCACTAATGTAGGAAAAGCTTTCTTGGTCTGTAAATGTGGTGAGAAGTGGTTGTTGAGTTAAATGAGATTTTTATCTGAGAAGGACCAAATAGTGCTTTCTACATGGCTCTCAAATAGTACCTACTGTTTCTATCTATCTATCTATCTATCTATCTATCTATCTATCTATCTATCTATCTAATCTCTGTCTGGATATAGACATAGATATAAAGGTAGATATTTTGACAAATACAAAGATAAAATGTATTTGTGTGTATACCTACTTAAATATCATTATTATTGCTTATTGATTGTGAATGTGACCTTGGCCACATCTACCCTCACCACTGTTTTTTTTTAAACAAAAAACATTTACTGTGTTTTAAATCATTAAAAATCACGATCAGAGTGTTTAAAAATCATTAAATTATGTTTATGATATTCAACCTGTTATGTTTGCCTTCTTAAACAAGCATTCACTCTACAAATGTAGCCAGGCAATGAATGCCCTATCTGATCTTAAAGGGTCAGACACTTTGAGAACAACACTGGCCAAGCTAGTGAATGGTTTAAGTCCTGTGAGTCCAAAAGACAAACCTGAACAGGAGCCAAGGTTTTGGAGGGCTTGGGGAAGGAAACTCTCTCTGGCCCCAGGTGTGGTGTAGTGTCAGGCAAATCAAAATGAGCACTGTGA